TCCTTCCCAGAGATGCAGGGATGTTTGATCATATGGGAAGCAATAATTGTAACCAAGCACTTAAATAAATTCATATAAAAACATACTCATCTCATTAGATAACATGTCCTACAAATGCCATAATACATTTTTGATAAAAGTCCTCAGGAATCATGTGTTACAGGCGGCATATCTCAACATAATAAAGGACGTATACGACAAACCCAAGGCTATCATCATACAGAACAGAAAAACCTCAAAGCACTGACAGTGAAATAAGGAACCAGAAAAGAACGCTCAGTCTCTCACTTCTGTTCAATTCAGTGCTTGAAGTCCAATGTAGACCAAGACGAGGCAGGAAGATAACAGAGGTTAAGCTAGGAAAGGAAGAAGTCCAAGTATCCTTATTTTCAGAGGTGCTTGTTTAAGCCTCCTGAGTCCATCTAGTGCTGCCAGTGTGTGCATAGATGTGGGTCCAGCTACTGAAGCATGGATAGCTTTCAGGGACCACATTGCTGAAGGAAACTGATGCCCCTGCAACAATCAGTTGCCAATAGCTCCTCACCTAGGGGAGGATACAACTTTGATATTTTGAGACAGCTTTGTACTTCCATGGTGGAAATTTTGTCTAACTTGATCTTGTGCAGGTCTTGTCCATTAAGTCTCAGTCATTGTGGGATCACGTTGACAACGGCCCTGTTGTGTACAGAACACTTTTCTCACTATAATCATCCACTGACTCTGGTTCTTACAATCTTTCTGCACCTACTCCACAGTGATCCCTGAGCCTTTGGAGGAGAGGTTGTGATATAGATGTCACGGTTAGAGTTGGAAACGCCATAGTCTCTTGTTTTACATATATTAACCAGTGTGGCTCACTGTGCTAATTGTCATCTACTGCATAAAGAAGCTTCTCTGATGAGATGCACTCACCTATGAGTATAATGATGTCTTGAGGTGTTGACTTAATACTATTTTCAATTTTCAGAATAATAGTGTTTAGCTTTCCCTAGGGCCCATGACCTACCTATCCATGTGTTCTTGGCTACATTATGACAACTAGACATGGGTTTCCCATACTGAAGATTGCTTCTCCAGCCAATTAGCAGTTTTCTAATTTTGTGAGCTAACTAATTTTATGAGGAATCACATAAAGAAGGCTGATCTTACTTTCTGCATGACTGAGTATCAATTCAGAAAGTCATTGTCCCTGTCATATAATCTATTGTGCACTCTATTCTTTCATTTGAAAGACTCAAAGCTTAATTGAATATTTGTTAATATAGCCAAATACACATGGATGAAGAGGTCATAGATCTCAGAGAAAACTCTATACCAGTCACATTCCTGGAAACACAGAGTATCTTAATATATGCTAATTGACAATCCTTACATTTACAGACAACTCTAGCAATCACCACTCATCAAGGAAGCTGCGTTTCCAACAGATGGAAACAATTACAGAGTTCCAAAAATTGCGATTTCTGGCCCATTTGAAATTGATTTTTGTTAAGGGTGGGGATAAAGGTGTAGATTTATTACTCTACATGAGTGACCCCCTTTTCTGTTGATTGTGCTCTGTTGCATGAGGAAGCTTTAATGATGAGAGTTGAGAGATGCATTAGCGTTCTCTCTACACCACATTCCAATATGTTCACTGAGCCTTAGCTCCAGAAGTTCCATTGTAGATGTCAATTAAGTCTGAACATCTGACAAGCACTTTTATCTTCAGGGTAATCAACAGCTGTGTAACTGAATTTAATGGGCTCTCAATAGGAGGGAGCTCATGTTTGGCACTGTTAACGAAAGACACATGGCTGGAGAGGTCATAGATCTTTGAGAAAACTCTACATCAGTCACATTGCTAAACAAATATAATATTTTACTGTATGATAATTGTTGATCCTCATATTTACAGACAAGTATAGCAGTCACCACTCATCAAGAAAGCTTCTATGACAACAGATGGAAACTATTGCAGAGCTCCACAACTGTAAATCACAGCTTTCTGTTTTATGTTCTTGATTTTGTTTCTTACATTGGCCCCACAAAATGCTCCTGTGACTTTCTTTCTGTTGCTGTGCATGAAACTAACCAGTTGTACTCAAATTTCTGCAAACAAGGCTCTAACAGAGACACCAGTGCAGCTGACACAAAAATGATCAGCGGCAGACAAGGGTGAGACATTGAATTTCCCTGGAGAAATGACACAGTGTTGGTACCTTCATAGCACTTAAACAATAAAGACTGTGATTAAACGGTATTGGCCTCATAATTTATCAAGGAACCAGTATTTGTTATTTTCTCCCCTATTTTTTCAGGAAGCCTGGAGTAATCTGTCTCATATTACTGTCACGACAGCCTGCACTTATCTCATTTCTCTCTGCCATAACCCTGGGTCTGCTGCTCATGGATAAATTCACTCTGGCTCAACCTCAGCCTCAGGCTGCAGTTTAGCACTGGGTCTGCTACGGAGATTCTCACTCCAGAATCAGCATCCCCCCAGAATCTCCTCTCCAGGCAGAATGGATGGATGAGAGGAATCAGCTTAGGACAGATATACAACCTCCCCTCGCCTCAATCATGTGCTAAGCCGGATGGAGAAGTTCAAACCAGATGGTGGAGGCAATGTGTCTCCTTCTATATGTGTTACACTGGGGTAGGCTGTAGACTCATATCTTAGACCATATAATGATAATTAGTTATTCATGTGGAACAAACAAGACTGCTCTCCTGGATGGTGCAACAGCCTCCTCATCGCTTAATATTGAGTATTGATGGAAGGAATCCTGGTCTCATAATAATACACAAGAATTGTAGCACTAAGCTGCTTCCCTAAACTAAGAAAAACAATGCTATCCTATACTTCCATATTTAAAATAGCACTGTTCAGAATATACAAGACATTGGATCCCCTGTGTCCATCAGTAGGTGAATGGATGAGAAGGTCATTGTGGCATATATCCTCAATGAAATCCAATTTTGTCACAGAAAAGAAGATGGAATTCCGTTTGTGAGAACTTCAAGGAGTCTGAATAATATCTTCTTAAGTGAAAACCAGCCATGTTTTATATGTTTTATATAAACCATTATAATTCATGCTGATGAGAACATTAAACCTCTACACCTTGATGCCTCTAAAACATTTTATGATCTTGATACAACATTTACAACTTATTCTCAATTTCACATTCTCCTTCATGTTTCTCAAAATCCATTGATTGTGCATTTATGCAATTGACAGTGAGCCATGTATTGTTTTCATTCGTCAATGTGTCTAATCATCCCACTCTGTTTTGGTATCTGCAAACTTGGAGCACAGCTTAAACCCAATAACAGAATGTCTCTTGATTTTCTCTTTTCATTAGATGGCCTTCCTATTCAGGGTATTTTTTTCATAAAATTTTAATAGTGATTTTTGTTTTTTTTCTTTCTGAACATCTCTAATTATTTAAATTGACTATCAGCTTGACAGCACTTGGCATCACCCAAGATAGAAATCCCTGAGTATGACTGTGAGGGATGATCTCCATTAAGCTAATTGAATTGGAAGGACACATGCTTGAGTTAAACAGCATCATTCTCTGGAATGGTTGCTGGATTCCTGAAAGGGAGAAAGTCAACTGGGCCACAGCATTCATCTGTCTGCTCCCTCACCACAGATGCAATGTGACCAGCTGCCTCAAACTCCTGCTGCCATGATGTCTCTACCATGATACAATATACACTCAAACTGTAAGATGAAATTAACTCTTACCTAAATTAATTTGGTCTGAGAATATTTTCAGGTCAAAAGAATACATCATTCATATAAAATCATACAGTCAAATTTCTAAATTTTGATTTATAATTAAACTGAGATTTTCAGGGTATATCTAGAAGATTCTCAAAATATAATTGATTATTTATAGTTTTTAATTTTTATTTTATGTGTACGAGTGTACTGCCTGCATGAATGTAAGTGCATCCGTGTGTTGCAATGCCAGCACATTTCAGAAGTAGGTGTCAGAAGTGGGTGTCAGATCCGCTGGAACATGAGTTAGGAATGGTTATTAGCCACCATGTGGGTGTTAGGATTGAAACCTGGTTCCACTCAAAGAGCAGTCAGTGCTTATTACTGCTGAGCCCTCTCTCCAGCCCCTCAAAATAAAACTAATTTTATACAGCTAGTAAATTAAGCATTGTTAGGACATTGTATATGCTAAGGAGAGTCTCATGAAATAATGAGTGGCCCTAGATACTTTAAGCCATGTTTAGATATTTAAAATATTTTTACTGCATTTTTTATTTTACATGTATGAGTGTATGACCTTCACACGTGTAAGTGATCCTATGTAGTGCAGTGCTCACAGGGGATCAGAAAAGAGCATCTAATCCCCTGGCACTGAAGTTATGGACAGTTGTTGACTGCTATGTTGGTGCTGGGAATCAAACCCAGACCCTCTACAAGAGCAGTCATTGCTCTTAACTGCTGAGCCATCATACCCACAATGTGCAGATAGTTACAGAGGGAGAGATAAAGAAAGAGAAGTCTGCATTTCTTAGGGGATTTATTTAGTTAATTCTGATCTTGTATAAATCATTTATATAAATATTCAAAAGTAGGAAAAAACTAAACTCTCTCCTAATAAGAGCATTTTCATGCTTCAATGAGCATGTCCATCTCTAAGAGAGACTCATGGGAGCCAAGGGTTTCTGGTTGAAGCACAGTCCCTCACACTGGGTGAAATCCAATAGGAGAGACAGTTAATAAATTATGTAACCCATCTATATGTCTGTATTACTATCTCATCTGTAAAACTTAATTTCCACCACACTAGTCTAGGACATGTGTCTTGCTCTAGGACTGAAGCCTCCAGGCATCCAATTCCATACCTTGCTATATAGCAGCAGGTCATGCAAATAAGGCCTCTCTCTGCTCATGAAAACCAGCAAAGCCCTGACCCTGCAGCTGTGGCAGAGGAGCCCTGCCCTGCACTTTGAGGTATTTCCATTCAGTGATCCCTGAGCAGAGACTCACCATGGAGCTGAGGCTGAGGCTGGGTTTTCCTCGTACTTTTTTAAAAGGTGATTTGTAGAGAAGAGATACTGAGTGTGAGAGTGGGCATGAGTGAGAAGGACATAGAGTGGCAAATATGTATGACAGATTCCTGATCACAACGGTTTGGATTTTCAGGTGTCCGGTCTGAGGTGAAGCTGGTGGAGTCTGGAGGAGGGTTGGTGCAGCCTGGGGGGTCCTTGAAACTCTCCTGTGCAGCCTCTGGCTTCCGCTTCAGTGACAACTCCATGACCTGGATCCGTCAGACTCCAGAGAAGAGGCTTGAGTGGCTCTCATACGTCAGTGGTGGTGGTAGAGATACAGAATATGCGGAATCCGTGAAAGGCAGATTCACCATCTCCAGAGACAATGCCAAGAGCACCCTGTACCTGCAAATGAACAGCCTGAGATCTGAGGACACGGCGACCCATTACTGCACAACACAATGAGTGAAAATAATTGTTGGCTAAGACATACACCTCCCTGTGGGATGCTCAGGGCCAGTAGGGGGCGCAGATGACACACTGAACTCACCTCAGCCCAGAGCAGGGACAGAGGGGCATGAAAATCTGAGTCTGGGGACTTAGATTTGAGAGTCTGGTGAGCTCTGGCTGACTTGTGAAGAACCCAGGGAGAAGACAGTGAGTTCATTTCAACCACATTCCTGGAACTCTGTCTGTGGACACATTAGGAAGAGCAATTGGATATTCAAAGCAAGGAGATGATGTCTGCAAATTCAACTTGGAGGTCAACTAGGAGCTTGCCTTCCTCTGATCAAAATTTCATGGAGTGCCTGAATTGTGCCTATGGAGGAGATGAAGCTGGACTCCCTGGTGACTACATTTCCATCACAGACACAAACTTCCCCACAGGGTGTTTTGGACAAGCGGGGACCACAAGAGAATCTAGGGAACCCTGAAGTAAGCCCCATGACAGACACCTGCAGTCAAGCTCCTGTAGTTTTCAATTCCTACCCTGAAATTCTATGGAGATTCTTTGCTGTATATTGTTATGCACAAATTTGTATTTGCTTCTTGACACAAATAACATTGTTCTAGGAGCATCTGAATTTCCTGTTTCCTAGTTTTCTTGTTGGTTAATCTAAGGTCAGGAAGAATTTTTAGGTAGTTTTCATTCATTTTCAGAAAATTCTTTCTTTCTTAGTTCATGTTTTATTTGTTATTTTTAATCTAATGAATGCATTGCCTACATGTAGGGGGTGCAACTGTGCCATGCAATGCCCATGGAGATCAGAAGAGGGCATTGGATACCCTAGAACTCGAGTTACAAATTGTTGCTAGTTTCCATGTGGGTGCGGGGAATCAAACCCAGGTCCTCTGCAAGAATAATCAGTGCTGAAAACCACTGAGCCATCGCTCCAGCACCCAGAATTCTCTAATTTTACACATGTGGAACAAGCACAGTTGCCCTGAGTTCAAGTCCTGTTCCTTTGCTCCACACGTCGGTAGGTCACTTAACAGTCTTCTTCCACTGTTAGAGTCTCTGTGCAAGAGTGTGAAGGAAGGTGACAAAGTTTATCCTCATGTCACTGATTCCATATCAGAGACACATCTTGATAAAACTGAGCTTGTACCCCAAAGACAAAAGTAACAATTCTTTCATAGAGACTTTGTACACTGCAGCCTGGGGAAAAGTCTGAGTCACCAGTGCACCTGTCCCTGCTCATGTGCTCCTAGTTCACACTGTCCTCAGTCCTTCCATGGGAGACTGCACCCCAATCTTATCACCATTTGTAACTTTCTCCTGGTAGTTTCTTTATTTACAATAGATCCTAAGAAATCTGGCATATCTCTCTCAAGTAATGTTAACTACATGAAAGCTGGAATGGGTCATAGAGGCACAACGTGTTTGGGTCAATAATATGAGTCCCTTTGCAAGAAAGGGCAAGGGATGAACTGATCAGCAGTGGAAGCCGCTCTAGAAACTGCGACAGTGACATCGGCTGTGTGATGAAGCTTGGCGGAGTCACAGAGTGCTGGAGAAACACAGAGTAGTGACCAGAACTGAGGAAGGTAAACCCGGAAGAAATTCATACCACATTAGCCAGGATCAAGGTCAGGATCAGCCAGGATTAACAGAAGGTGAAATAGGACTTGCACCTTCAGCCTGCAGGTGGGCACTTCCTGGAGACTAAGTGTATGAAATAGGACAATGCAATTTTGGTGGGTGTCCATTAAGTCTGTGTATTAGCAATGCTGGGGCAGCTGTTTTCATGGTTTCACTTTGGAAATTCAAGAGCACAGTGTCTTCTTGCTTTCCTTTCCTAAATCCTGATATTGATGGAGAGGTCTTCCATGTCTTAGGTTAAAAATGATCCCTAGACATTATTTTTGGATCTATTACTAATGATTTATTTTTAAATATCTATCTGAGTTTCAATTGTTGTATATGAAGGTGACGATTCTTAATTTTTCTGTAACTGTACTATAAATGTTCAGTCAATCCAATTTTTTTCTAGTACATTCTATGGGATCTTTTTTAGAATAGAATCATGTCCATAAGTAAGGAAAACTGATTCTTTTCATCTTTTTATCCCATGTATTTCTCTTGGGCAGCCACTACAAGTAAGACTTTGAGGACTGTATTGAATAAGATAAGTGCAACTCAGGGTCCTTTCCTCAGTGGTGAATTTAGAAGAAACGCTCTGTTTTCATGGTTACATTTAAGAGATTACTCTCTTTGAAACCTGGGTTTTTTGTTCATTTGTTTTCTACCATCAGTGAGAGAAACCTTTTATAATGACAACATTGTCTTCAAAAGAAGTAAATATCTGAAGCCATATATTTATAGGCCTTAGTCCATGGAAGGTCTCAGATCAGTCTTAATGCACCGAAACATGTCTTCAGAATGAATTTTCATACATGTATGCTACCACTCAGAAAAATGATTTGCAATACCACACATACATGTGCACACTCACACAAACATACACATACACACACACACACACACACACACACACACACACACCATTTACCAGGTCCCACAGGGCACAAGTGTCTTCTCCTCATTAAGGTTTTTCTTTACATGTAGATGGTGAAGATTTAAACATGGTCCAAGAAGAGAATGGTGGCCTCTTGATAATACCCAGGATAGGGAGGGAAGATAAAGTCTTCATAGCCTGTGGAATTAAACAGTAGCTCTCTTTCTTGATCCAGACTCTGAAGCCAAGCTCCAGAACAACAGTTAATCTCCAGAATAACAGTTAATCTCAATGTGTTGTGAGGTGTTTAAGGGCTCTGAAGCCCCAGGGCCGTGGATACTAGGAAGACGCACATTCTCTGACACAATACATGTAGTTACTATTTTTCTGTTGTGGTAAAACACCATCGCTTAGGCATCTTTCAGATACAAGAGCTTATTGGGCTTTTGATTCCTGAGGGATAGGAATCCAACATGGTGGGGACACGTGGCAGGAGGCAAACAGAGCAGAAAGCTGAGGGCTCTAATCTTTATCAGGCACAGGAAGCAGAGGGAAAACCTGGAAATGAGACATGGCTACAAACTCACAAAGCCTGCCACACAGGCATGCTTGCCCCAGGAGGAAGGGCACACCTCCTCCACAAACAGCATCACCATGGGAGACACCTCATTGAAATCACCATGATGCGTTTCTGATTTTTGGCAGCACTATTCCTCAGGATCATAAATGCATAGATGCTGGATTTCTCTGCACCCTTGATCAGAGCTGACAGTGTCATTTTTCTTGAAGGTACAAGCTGGACGATGTTCATCAGCTTTTCTTCTTGATGTTGCTTCCTAAGTGTGTGGAGCCAAGGACATACCTCATCACCTCAAATGCTAAGAAGAGGCTCAGTCTGTACATAGGCCTACGTAGGACTGTCCTCTGCCTCCTCAGCCCTGAGTCATTGTAGTTGGTCTGACACGTGCTTCTGCTGGGCAGTCCTTGAAGCAGGATCTTGTGTGAGGGATGAATGGGGTCTCTTTGTACGATGATATGGGATTTGAGGACCCTGCTACTGCACTCATCATGTGCTTCCTCTGCACACCTCAGGGTGGGTGGAGGGAGAGGCAGGCATGGCCCCATGAAAGAACAATGAGAGCATGCACTGAGCTCTGGGGAGTGGGAGAAGGAATGAGCAGAAGAGGGTCCAGGCTCTCATTTGAGTAAACAATTCCAAAGGGTGAGAGAATTCAGGGCACTCTCCTTGGGCCTATGAGGCCATGGGAGGAGGGGGTGTTTTGAAGATGTGTCTGGAATTAGGAAGGTGCAGTCATGCACACACATGTTTTAAATGAATCAATAGCCAACATGAGCTCTCACTCCAGACTGACATCAAGAATCTGAAGGACAGATGCACCCTTGGTCCAGGGAAGAAAAATGTGAACTGATTTCCACTCTTCCAACTTATAAACCAGGGCTCCCGACATGCAAATATGTCCTCTGTTTCTACTTAAATTCCAAGACTGTGCTGTAGGACCTAGGGACCTTCTGACACAGGACTGAGCTGAGGCCTCTGAGGAAGAAATCATTAAAGGACAAGAAGTTAGTGTTTTATCCCCTGCCTGATACAGCTCTGCAAGCTAGGTGTATTTCACACATTTGGAAAAAGAGGACGTGACAGCAGGTGAATGACATTGACGTATTATTCTTGTCGCTCTTGGGTGTGCTGTCCCAGGTACACCTGCAGGAGGCAGGGCTTCTCCTGGTGCAACCCTCACATACCCTGACCCTCATCTACACTATCACCTTCACAGACCCTGACCCTCACTTGTATTATTACTGGTTATACCATCACCAGTGGTTACAGGTGGAACCGGATACACCAGCATCCAGGGAGGAGCCTGCGGTGAATGGGGTACAGAGCTAATCATGGAAACTGCATACAGCTCATCCCTCAAGGCAGAATATCCATCACTAGAGACACTTCTAAGAACAGGTTCTCCCTGTACGTTAGCTCTGTGACCACTGATGTTGCAGCCACTTATTATTATTATTGAGAGTGCTCCATCACTTTTCTATTTTACACAATAATTTTTTATGAGTGCAATACTGAATGCCCATAAAAAATCCTCTTTCTGCAGTATTTGGCAAATAACACAGAGATTAGCAGCTTGTCACTGTGCAAAAATAAGGCACCGTGGAGCACTGTGGTGATTTGAATGAGAATGTCCCCCATAAGCTCCAAGTATTTGGACATTTTGTCCCTAGTTGGTGGCGCTATTTTGGGAGGTCTTAAAAGTTGTGGCTATCGTGGAGGAAGCACATCACTGGGGGTGGGTTTAGAAAGTTCATAAGCCTTGCCAGATCTTGAGTTTAAATATGATTACGATGTATTGTATGAAATGCATAAAAATTCAATAAGCGTATACTGTTACATAGATGCTGCTTGCATCCAGTGCACACTATGCCCTCAGATCATATTACTATGAGGTCACATTAAATAACATCCAGAGCACAGGGGTCCGCAGACCAGCGTGCAGGAGAATTTCAAGTGTGTCTCCCTTCCCCATTGCCCTAGGCCAATGGCTGAGGATATTGCTCCTGTTATTAATTCACCTGGGTTTTCTTCATTGAGTTCAAGATGGTGATGACTGCACAAGGCTGCACATCACTCTTTGTGCTTCCAATGACATTGTAAGTAAGAAGTTGCTATTTCAGAGGACGCCCAGGAAGGTCCTGTTAAATGCACAAACACACCCACAGTGTGCAGATAGTCACAGAGGGAGAGATGAAGAAAGAGAAGTCTGCATTTCTTGGGTGATTTAATTCTCATCTTCTATAAATAATTTATATAAATATTCAAAAGTAGGAAACAACTAAAGGATATCCTGATAAGAACATTCTGCATGCCTCAGTGAGCATGTCCATCTCTGTCTAAGAGTGACACATGGGAGCCAAAGATTTCTTTGGTTAGAAGCACAGTCCCTCACACTGGGTGAAACCCAACAAGAGAAACATTGAATATGTTATATAAACCACCTGTGCGTTTTTTACTATTTCCTCTGTAAAATTTTATTTCACCACACTAATCAAGGATATGTGACCTGCTCTAGGACTTCAATTCCAGACGTCAAACCCAAGTCATTCTTATATAGCACCAGGTCATGCAAATAAGGCCTCTCTCTGCTCATGAAAACCAGCAAAGCCCTGACCCTGCAGCTGTGGCCGAGGAGCCCTGCCCTGCACTTCAAGGTGTTTCCATTCAGTGATCACTGAACACAGACTCACCATGGAGTTGAGGCTGAGCTGGGTTTTCCTTGTCGCTCTTTTAAAAGGTAATTTGTGGAGAAGAAGAGATACTGAGTGTGAGAGTGGGCATGAGTGAGAAGGGCATTGGACATGTGTGACATATTCCTAACCATGATGGTTTGGATTTTCAGGTGTCCAGTCTGAGGTGAAGCTGGTGGAGTCTGGAGGAGGTTTGGTGCTGCCTGGGGGATCCTTGAAACTCTCCTGTGTAGCCTCTGGATTCACCTTCAGTAGTACCTACATGAGTTGGGTCCGTCAGACTCCAGAGAAGAGGCTTGAGTGGCTCTCATACATCAGTGGGAGTAGTAGTGATATAAAATACGCAGATTCTGTGAAAGGCCGATTCACCACCTCCAGAGACAATGCCAAGAGCACCTTGTATCTGCAAATGAGCAGTCTTAGAACTGAAGACACAGCCATCTATTACTGTGTAAGAGGCACAGTGAATGAAGGGTGGTGTGAGCTCAGACAAAAACCCCCTATGGGAGGCTCAGGCCCAGCAGGGGGCGCTGATGATACACTGAACCCAGTTTCACCCCAGAGCAGGACAGAGGGATATGAGAAGATGGACTCCTGGACCATGTCTAGACTGACTTTCTATGTCAGAACAGTTTTCACAGGGCTCCTGTCTAGAAGAATGGTCTGTACTAACCTTTGATGCTAACCTGAAATGTTTTTTTAAGATTTGTTTTGCACTGTGATGTACATATCAATCTGGAGGGTGAGCATGACGTGTAGAAAGTGCAGAGCACCACACAGGGTGTAAGTGACACAGCTGGTACGGACGTGAACCCTGAATTCTGATCTTTTTCACTCTCATCATCTTTTTCATACAAACAGTGAGCATCAGACCCAGCACTGACCCAACTGTCCTGCTGTTAAAAATGTGTGGGAGACCATTCATCTGACACTGACAGAAGCTGAACGTCCCAGCTCCAGGCAGCTCATGACTAACAAACTCCTGGTGGAATCCCTGGGCCTCACTTTCCTTTCTCAGAATGAAGGCCAGTCAAGCTGTTGGCTGTAGGTCTCGGGATCTGTCCTGGTCCTGTCACATGTGTGTGTGTAAATCTATTTTTTCTCTCTCATTCTCAGGGTTTGGGTCACATAAGTACAGTGTGTTTCAGTACTTAAGGTATTTCTTTCCCCCAGGCTTCCTTCACAGAGTTTTATTTACAATGCTTCACCATCACTTGGTATGCCGTCTCTGTGACTGGTTCAAGCGTGCTGGATCTCAGAATGTCTTACAGTACAGAGTAGTCATGGACCTCATTCAACAACACGGTGACAATGTATTAAGTTCCCAGGGAAGATGAACCACTTCGTAGAAGAGGGAACATGGATGGAAAGCAGGAGCAATACCGGGGTCAGTCCTGAGGGGAAAAGACCCAGAGTCTGAGAGGGTGGCGGGACAGGGCTGTGGTCAGGGAACGAAGGAGAGGCTTGGAGGAAGGAGGGCCAGGAATTAGGTATGTGGCACGAGTTGTTTTACTAGGTTCTATCACATGTCTGATTGCAGCTCCTCTCTTACCACTAATTTAAGTAGCTCTCAGATGAAACACATGACACAGGTCAGAGAAGGAATATGTGCAGCTTAACCTCAGTCCTCCCCCACTTACCTGAAGAATATACCCGACATGCAAATGAATCCTTAGGCTCAAGATATAATTTCCTTTCTTTTGTGAAGGATCACATCTTTATGCTTAGACAAGGCTCAGCTCTCAGTGCAAGGCAGGAGTGGGTCTAGAAGATGAGACCTTTGGGGCTTTTAAAATGGCTGTTGACAGGTCCCAAGATGAGTCTCCTGATGCTATCATGGGCATGTGGAGGAGTCTGTAACTCTCTTTGAGTGATAAGGACTGATTTTGTCTGTCCTCAGGGGTCCTGTCCCAGGTGAAGCTGAAGGAATCAGGACCTGTCCTTATGCAGCTTTCACAGACCCTGATCCTCAACTGCACCCCCTGTGGATTCTCCATTACCAGTGATCACTGCAGGAACTGGAACACCCAGACCTCGGGGAAGGGTCTACAATGGATGGGGCATATGTGCTAGTGCTAGCACTCTTTATACCCAGTCCTCCAGTCTTGAGTCACCACCTCCAAAGATGTGTCCAAGAAGTGTTTCTCCATGCAGCTGAGCTCTGTGACCACAGAGGACACAGGTGTATATTACTGTGCAAAGGCACAGTGTGGGGAATCTGTAAACCCAGATATAAAGTACTCTTCATGGACATTGGAGATGGGGGGGGCGCTGAAGACACCGTGAGCATGTCTAGGAGCAGGTGCAGAGACAGACTTGGACAATTCTCAGACTCTATTGTATTCTGCCCAGCCAGCACTTCAACTGATACCACTTTAAATAATAAATCTACAGATATTTCCTGTCATAATACTTGAATTGTTTCTTTCATTATGTCAGGCTCGGATGATAGTCTGTATCTCAGAAAAGTTCCACTAAAATATTTGTTGATTAAGACTTTGCTTGTAATGAGATTGGCTGCATAAACTCTTACTTGCCATGTTTATAAACATTCAAAGGCAGGTGTGATTCTATTCTATACCATAAAGATGCTGTCCTCTCTTCTAATTACGTCCTTCCAAATATTTGACCTTACATGTCCTTAGCTTCATCCGAAGTCTATAATGTTGTATACATGAGATGGGTGTCCAGGTGTTTCTAGAACATCCTCAGAGAAGATTTTGGATAGGTTTGGAGCAAGGTTTTCTTCATACAAATAAATTCAGCTTATTCTAATTTACTTACAAATAAAAATATCAAACAGCTGTTAAATGGAAGCCATTCAAACACTTCCAAGTCCCCATCCACCTGCCTTCATCATTTTGCAGATCTTGCTAAGCTACCATACTGTGGAGATCTCACTGTTGAAGCTTGCCTATTATATCTATAATGCATTAATTAACTGCTGGTGACATCTCCTTCTGTCTGTTATATTCTTTCTTTCCCCTCTTATGCAATGCTCCCTGAACTTTATTTGTAGAGGTTGCATTAGACATGTGTCAGTTAGGGCTGGGCACATCACAATTACTTATTATCTGTGTTCATACAGTTATGAAAATTTGTAATAATATCCATCTGTCGCAAAATAAAACCCTCTTTTGATGAATTGTGAGGTGTACACTTGCCTGTAAGTAGAACGTTTAGAATACAGAAAGAAATTCTGTTGATCTAGGAAAGTGACAGAACTAGGCTCTTCTTAGGGTCTATGACGTCTCCGGCCCTGTGTACTTGGCTGCGTTTACAGCGTCAACCGTGATTTCCCTCCCACTGAGGTGTCTACAGCTCTGCTGGCTTATTTCAGGGAAAGGACGTGGCAGTACTGAATCTTCCAGAAGCTGCGGGCCCTCACTCAGTGTCTCTCAGTCATAACAGCGTTTCATTGGGGTCTGCAAATCTGATGCAGTTGACGAGCTGTAAGTGGCGGCGTGCTAGCTCTGAATTCGTCATATATTCTTGTTCTCATGATGTCTCACGATGCATATGACTATAGTAAACTGCTTTATGTATCTCAAATATAATAAGTTATACATTTCACAGTATATTGATTTCTCAGTGGTCATAATGGTGTCACATCGGAGCAGTAAGAGGTTTTCCTCAATATCGCAGTTTTCCATCCCTTTGCTATGTTAAAGATGCTCATCAGTTTATATTGCCGACACTCTCATCTTAATGCCAAACATGAGTGAATGCTTGAGTCACATGACAATGTGAGGCACATCATCGTTTTCCCAGTGGGCTTTATTTATGTTAGTTTATTATGATTCAGTTACATGTCACTTGTGTATGTTAATATTTGCAGTGATGAAATTTGAATGTTACACACAATACCCAATAAAACAATGGTATAATTTATTCGGTTCCGTTTATATTTAACTGGGAATAGAGTATCAACAGATTTTATATGCTCCCTGTGTCAGATATGTCCATCAGCAATTTCAAGTTTGAATTCTTTTAAAGGAAACAGTATTTATGAAAACAAACACTTTAGAATGCTGTGAGAGTTGTAGTTCTTGGCTCTAATATTTCATTTTGTGTTATGATGATTTGTATCACAAAGGCCCTTATCAAATGCCCTACAGACTCTTGCTGTCCATGGTCAGCTCACAAGAAAAGGAAGAGATTACAGTCACTTAATGTCTACTCTTCTATTCATGTCATCAATTAAAGTTACCTGGTTTATTTCAATCATTCCATCTGAGTCTCAGTCCTGATTTCATTGTATAGTTCATCAGGTATGAGAAAAACTGCCTTTTTCCAACCCTCACCAATACAAACATCACATTACAGAATCTCATTTTTTACATCACCAATACAAACATCACATTACAGAATTTCATTTTTATATCATATAAAAGGACATAGATTAAAAAAGAGGGAGGAGCCAAGTGTGGTGATGCATAACTTTAATGCAGCACATGGGAAGCAGAGGAAGGAGATCTCTGTGAGATCTATCTAGTTCAGTCTGGTCTATACAGAAAGTTCTTGGCCAGCTAGAGCTACAGAGAGAACTTGTCTCAAATAAAAGAAGGGAGAAAGCTAGAGACGGGGACAGAGATTTACAGCTAGAGACAAGAAGAGAGAAAACAAAAGTGGTTTGAAGCTGACCATTTATAGGGGGCAGGTACGGTGTTCAAGCCCAGCTAGAAACCATCCAACTTGGGATCTCAGATCCTCTCTCAGAAAAATTTATGAAGTCCCACCCACTATATGTAGTTAACATGGTGCTCCATCAGGAGATGGAGTTTCTTCATGAGCGATGAGCACCCCATGAGTAACACATCACCACAGCCCTTAAATCCATCACTGAATACACAGAGCACAAATGTATCAGGATATGGTATCTGGGTCAGCACCAAGTGAATAAATGCAGAATCAGTGTGTAGAATAAACAGACACAGAGACGGAAAATACCCTTGATGTCGGGTCCTTTGAATGAGCATGATGTGGATTGGTGCGAAGAGATAATCTAATTTGACACTCAGATCCTGAATCAGAACTAGCAGGGATACCTCCAGGAGCCAAGTTTTCTTCAAACTTCACAACCTGCTCCCAAAGGGGAATGTTAGAGTAGCAGAAAGCCCCATTAAAAAAAGAAGAAAGAAAGAAAGAAGGAAGGAAGGAAGGAAGGAAGGAAGGAAGGAAGGAAGGAAGGAAGGACAGAAAGTTCACAAAGCTGTCAGAAAAAATGATGGGAAGATATGGGAGGTGTTAGAGGGGAGGGAGTGGGCATGGATTTGATCAAAACACCTTATATGCATGTATGAAATTCTCAGTAAATTTTTTTAAAGTTAAAAAATGAATACATTTAGAAAATACTGTAGAAGAGCCTGTCAGTTGTTTTATAAATAAAGTTTGATTGGAAAATGGGAAAAAAAAACTCAACAACCTGCAGCCTGAGAACACAGCCATGTGTTACTGTACCAGAGCCATAGTGAATGGAATTTAATATAAGCCAGTAACAAACCTTCCCATATGGAAGCTCAGGACAGGCAGCGGGCAAATGGGACCCTCTCAGAACAGAGGAACCTCAGAAGTTCAGGACTGTGCTGCAACAGCAGGTGTAGAACAAGCTTCAGGCTGCTTTACTGTTAGAGTCTGTGCCTTCCTCTTCCTGCTCAGGGAATCTCTAGGGATCCTTGC